AGCAAAGACTGGGAGCTCATAATTTATTCCTGCAGTTTGTTTGTTTTGCCTAAAGAGTATTAGAGGTGTTAAGGGATCAGCCTAGGAACTGAAGCAGTGATCTGCATTTTTTTAATGTGTGAAATTGGATCTCTCTGAATTTCAGAAGATGCAAGTAGACGAGGAGCAACAAAAGGCTGAAGAGCAACAGCAAACCCAGCCTGAAAATAAGGCAGAGTCTGAAGAAATGGAGGTAAGAGGAGCATTTGAGACTTTATTTTCCTGAGATTTGTGAGAATATGAGGAATGTGAGCACATCTGCTGCCTTTGTCATAGTTCTAGAAGCTGAACTTTTATTTCAGTGCATTGGTGGTCTATTGTGATTAGAGCTTTAGAGAGGACACAAATGGCACTGATAACTGCAGACCTGTCAGGTGACCTAGTACTGATAAAATGGGGGAACTCTCCTGTTCAGGGGAGAAATAATCATCTAGTTTTCAATAACTTGAATACTGGAACAGTGTTCTGCAATGAGTACCCTCTCCCATGAATGCAGAGTGCCCAGAAAAGGTCTGGGCTTCATTAATTGTCTCAGGCTTCAGCAGCTGAGGTGTCAGTATGGCAGGGAGGGCTTGATTCTGTTGTTGAGGTGCTAACTCAGTTTTTGTGATGTAAACCTTGGCTGCTCCCCTTGAATTGAGTGGTGCTGCTGTTTTTACTGTGAATGTAATTATATTTTAATGCAGACTTCTCAGGCTGACTCAAAGGACAAGAAAGTGGATCAGCCCCCTCAGGCCAAGAAGGCCAAAGTGAAGACCACCACTGTGGACCTTCCCATTGAGAACCAGCTGGTGTGGCAGATAGGGAAGGACATGCTCAACTTGTTCATTGAGAACGAGGTAAACTCTCCTGCCCAAGCTAAAAATGTCACCTGTTGGTCTCCAGAAATGCTGTTTTTCATTGAAGTGGTTAAGGAAGGTCAAGGAAAGGATTAAAAGGAATAAAACAAGCAGTTAGAAGTCTGAGGTGAACAACAGTGCCCCATGGAGGCAGAACACATTCATTGCTCCTGGTCAGGGGAGCTGTCCTCTCAAAGGGCTGTTCTGCAGAAAAGCTCCACAATCACCTGTGGGTACAAGGTGAAGGTGACCCTCAGCTGGAGGAGGATTGTCCTGTGCTGTATTGGACATCACACCAAAACTGAAATCAGTTTTCAGTCATGTGCTCTGTTAGAACAGTTCTGTAAATCACAGTTTTGCAAAATCTTGGTCTGGTTTGAGCCTTTGCTAACAAGGTGTCCTGGAAATAAATGTTAAATAATGAGCTTTTTAGCCAATTAATTTGACCCTTTGTTCACAGGGTAAGATGATAATGCAGGATAAGCTGGAGAAGGAGAGGAATGATGCCAAGAATGCAGTGGAGGAGTACGTGTATGAAATGAGAGACAAACTCTGCGGTGTTTATGAGAAATTCGTCAGTGAGGATGTGAGTGTTGCTGCTGGACTGTCCTGATACACTGTGGTACCATCAGCACTTGGGTTTATAACCCTTGACCTGTATCTCATACTATATTTATATAAGTTATATATTCAGACTTTAAATTTGAAGAAATAATCATAACCTTTCTGGCTCTGATGGTAATCTACTAAATGTGGCCACCTGTATCTGAACTGGTTACCTAAAAATCTCCTGGCATTATTAATCAGCTTTCCCTGTTGTACTGAAGGAGCTTGGTGTGTAATGAATTTAACTCTGCTTCTAGAGATGAATCTTTGAGCACCTGACTGCATCTCCATTGACTGCAATGGAGCCTTGCCAGCCAGGTGTCTGCAGAGCCCAAACTGGGACATGCCGGGTGACATTTATGGCACCTTTGCTAAAGAAAAGTTTCCCTCTGTTCTCAGGCTTGCTCATGCAGTGACAGTGAAAACATGCAGGGGACAAAAAAGCCTTTGATGTGACAGTGCTTGATCTGAAATGTGGCTGTCACACATGAGTCTTCTTTGGGCCTGGAATCCACCACAGAGCTCTACAGAAGAATATTTTATTTCTTATTTTTCACTAAAATAGGATAAAGAGTTCCAGACAGAGTTCTTTATATTCTAAAAATACAACCCTTCAGGAAGGTTCCAGGTACCATTTAATGCCATTTGTCACCTAATGAATGATGTCACCTGCCTGTTTGTGTGTGTTGCTGCAGGATCGCAATAGCTTCACACTGAAGCTAGAAGATACAGAAAATTGGCTTTATGAGGATGGTGAAGACCAGCCCAAACAAATATACATTGATAAATTGGCAGAACTGAAGGTGAGTGGTTTTTACATTCCCATGGGAGTTTACCAAAGCTGGAGAACTTTGTTCCAGCAAGGAGCTGTCTGGGGTCTGCTGATTCTGAGGTAACAGCAGCCTGCTTTGGATTGTGTGGGGAGCAGGTCTCCAACAGACCTGTAACAAAGGGCTGAGGGAGGCTCAGTCTTTCCTGTAAGTTGAGGGAAGAGTCAGAGTTCCCAGGAGTTCAGGAAAGTTGATGTATCCTGTGAAACCTTGAGGATCCCTCAGTGATGCTCCATGAGTTTTGATACCTGTTGTGCTTTCTTTCAGACTCTGGGTCAGCCTATTCAGGCAAGATTCCAAGAATCAGAGGAAAGACCAAAAGCATTTGAGGACTTGGGGAAGCAAATCCAGCAGTACATGAAAGCTGTTCACGCATTCAAAGCAAAGGTATTTTCATACTTAATTTCTGAAAAACGCAAGCAAATTGTACAAATATTTTCTGAATTTTGGGTAACCCGCTTCAGACAAAACCCTTGCAACCTTCCAGTGAGCTTAGGAGTTCTTGGTGTTTAATAGATTTTCAGAAGTGGGTTTTGGGCCTTGCACATCTCAGTCCCTTTTCAATCAGGTGTTGATTTCCTCATGGAGGCAGAATGCCAGCAGCAGGAGATCTTCAGTCTCTGGTTACTGAGCTGTAACTGTGATCAGTTCTGTTGATTTGTTAACCAGAACAGCTCTTGGCTAAATGGTCTTCTTGTATTTTGAAGCTAAGTTTTGAGGAAATCGGGATGCAGTTCGTGCTCAAACACTGACACAGCTGCTCCTGTTTGGGTGTTGCAGGATGAACTGTATGATCATCTTGATGAAGCAGACGTGGCAAAGGTGGAGAAGAGCACCAATGAAGCCATGGAGTGGATGAACAACAACCTCAACCTTCAGAACAAGAGGAGTCTTACTTTGGACCCAGTTATAAAAGCAAAAGACATACAGTCTAAAGCAAAAGTAAGTTTTTCTACATAACTCCCTGTATTTCCATGAGTTTTTGTGTTTATTACTCTATCAGAAAACTCTGAGGTGAGAAATCCCAAAAGTACCAGGGAACATCAGCCCTCAATTGGAGTATTCCCAACAGTGGTTTCAAAAATTCAAGTTCACCTGTGGGAGATAAAACCATTCCTAAGCATGTGTTATTTCCGTGTTCTCTAGGAATTGGCGAGTATCTGTAATCCCATAGTGAACAAACCCAGACCCAAGGTGGAGCTGCCCAAGGAGGAGCAGAAGCCGCCGGAAGCCAACGGACCACTGGACGGGCAGGGCGACGCCGGGAGCGGGAGCCAGCCCCCCGAGCAGGGCTCTGCCCCCGCCGCGGACAAGAAGCTTCCAGAGATGGACATTGACTGAGTTTCAGCACTTGTTTATATTATTGCAAACTACAATAAAGCTTTAAGTTGTCAACTTTGTACGTTCTGAATACAAACTGAAGCAAGTGAATCCCACGGCACTCTTGGTAACTCTTGGAGAGGTTTGGGCAGGGCAGCAGGTCGGAACACGGAGGTGGCGAAGGACTCGCTCAGCTCAGCAGTGTTTGCCTTTATTGATTGTATTTAGAAGTTTTGGTAGTCTAACTAGACCTCTAGGAACAGCCATAAGCTGCTTCTCCATTTTTCATGTCCAGGCTGAGTCAGTTCTCCCTTGAAGGAGCGAGACAGCAACATCTAAGTCTGATGTGCACCCTCCTCTTCCCTTTCCCTGTGGATTGCAGCTCTGGCACTGCAGGGAGGGCAGGGGAGAGCCGAGGCAGAGTCTTCCATTGCTCTTGGTTTAGTGTGAATGCCTGCTCTGGACTCACTCTGATTTGCACTGGAACAGTTGATGGTTACAGGAGGTTTGCAGAGCAGGGGGTGGCTCATCAGCACCTTTATTCCTTAGCCCAGACTGCAGATCAGACTCAGAATGTGCTCCTGGACAGGGGAGTGGGTTTCTCATGAACTCCCCAGCTAATTAGGCCCTGTAAACTCCTTGTCTTTAGTTAAATTAGCTGCTTGTAGAAAGAGTGAATACTTGTATTTCAGCTGCCTATGCTGATAGTTGATTCTGACTTGTTCCTAACTTTTTCTGGCAGGGGTATGCTTGCTTCCACGAGGCCTTCATTTGGAATGCTTGGTTTTTTGTTTTGGTTTCTTTTTTTCCAGGAAAACCAAGAACTGACGGATATGTTGGTTTGTTTTGTTTTGTTGTTCTTTTTTTCTATGAGCTTTATACAATGAATTGCTTCTAGTACTGATTGTCATTAAACTTGCAAAAATTAATTTGTATGTGTTCAAATCCAAAGCTGAAAAACACCCATTCAGTTATTGCAAGAAATAAATGCACTGGATTCTACTGGACCACCTGCTGCAGCTGTTATTGCAATGCAGGGAGAGCGGGGTGGAGGGAAGGGCTGTGTCCGGGTTCTTGGGGCGTGCGAGGAGCTCTGCTGCTCCGGGGCTGCGGGGTGGGTGTGGTGGGTGTGTTTAAACTCCCTGTAATGAATCACAACCTTGGAATGCCCGCGTTAGAAGGGACTCGGGACTCGGTGAGTCAGCTCCTGCCCCTGCACAGGCACCCACCGCGCCCCTTCCCGGGGGAGCCCGTGCTCGCTCTGGGGGTGCCGCTCTGGGGGTGCCCGTGCTGGGGGTGCCCGCTCGGTGCCCGCCGGGGCCGGGGAGCGGCGGCAGCCGGGCGCGGAGCGGCCCCGAGCCCCGCGGGCCGGGCCGGGCCCTCCCGGCCGCCGGGGGAGCTGCGGGGCGGGGCCGCCGCCTCCTCCGCTTCCCGTCCCTGCCCGTGCCTTCCCTTCCCTTCCCGTCCCTCCGCGAGGGGCACGGCCGGGCCCCCTCGCCGTCCCCGGCCCGGCCGCGGCTGCCCCGGTGAGGAGCGGGCGGGTGAGGGGCGGGTGAGGGGGCGCGGGCCGGGCTCTCCCCGCGGGCCGGAGCCGCCGCAGCCCCGGAGCTGGGCCTGGAGCGCGCGGCTCGGGCCCGGGCCCGGCTGCTGCGGCTGGGAACGAGCCGCAAGCCCTGGGCACGGGGCAGCGAGGGCACCGTGCCCCGAGCCCGTGCTGATGGTGCCGCGGGTGTTTGTCTGTCCGCAGCAGCCCCGGGCGGGCCCTCAGCAGCGCCGGGCCCCTGCCCTGAGGGAGGAGCGGCGTCCGGCCCGGGAGGGATGCGCAGGGAGCGGCTCCTCGGCTCGGCCTGCGCGCTGTTCTCACTCGAAAGGTAACTCGGCGAACTGCCTTCGTCCATAGAAAGCCTCAAACTGGCTTTATTTCCCCAGATGTGGAGCTGAGGTGCTCCACGAGTGCCTCTACAAGATGCCTGTGCAGCATTTCAGCCTTTTTCTGATCTTTTCAATCACAAACGGGACTGTTTCCCTGTTTGCGTTAGAGCACTGCACAAGAGCTACTGTTACTGATTGATTTCTCCTGTGTTTTTTGTGATCTGTTTTCTTCCAAACATCAGTGAAATGTCCCTGTGTCTCCTGTGCCATCTCCATCTTTCATTATTTCCTGCCTTAAAGCTGTCTTTACCTAATAGCACACAGTTTGCTTTCTGACTTTTCAATATTCTCTTGGGGATTTTTAAAAATTATATAAAGCTACCAATATTATTTTCAACCTGTAAAATACCTTAATTAAATTTCACATTGTTTTAGGGTGGTTACGTGGGTTTTTCTAAAGCTTACTATGCTATAAAACAGCTGCCTCAAATTGATCATTTGAATTGGATGCATTAACTAGGTTGGTGTTGCAGAGTGGTGGCAACTCTACAGTAAAGTTAAATGTCTTCAGAGGACAAGGAGGCTCAGGAGGACGAGCTGCTGGCTCTGGCCAGCATCTACGATGAGGATGAGTTTAAGAGAGCAGAGTCTGCCCAAGGAGGAGAAACAAGAATTTGTCTGGAGCTGCCTCAAGACTTTAAAATTTTTGTGAGGGGTGAGTTGAGATGTTTTGTGTTTCCCAAGGGAGGCTTTGCCAAGCTCAGGTGGTGGTTGGGGAGTGACCTGAGGGAACAGTGACTGGACAAAGCTGTGGCTCACCCTCTGCTCTGCTTGTTGGGGGGGATTGTGTTTGAGCACTTTAATCCTCATCCACAGAACGTCCTCAGTAAACTCTAAAATCACAGATGAGTAGTAGCACTTCTTCAGAATAATTAAGTTCATTTATTGGGTTTTTATTCCTCCGAGGATATGTGCTTCCAAGTTCCTGGTTTGTGGAGAATCTGACATTTCACAGTGCTGCTGTTTAACTGCTTTAATCACAGACCTTCAACCCTTGACATTTTACTGCACTGAGAGTTTTATTATTTAGGGTGGAACAAATAGTTTTAACCCCAGAAGCACATCAAATTAGCAGACACTGGGTGCTGTCAGAAGCAGCAGCAGTCGGTTCATTTTAATTTTTCTGTTATTTCTCCCTCTGCCTCGGTGGCCTGGCTCAGGCAGTTCCACAGAGAGCCTCCAGAGCAGTGGGTTTGAGTACTCCGTGTGCTTCCTGCCTCCCCTCGTGCTGAATTTCGAGCTCCCACCTGACTACCCATCGACCTCCCCGCCCGTGTTCACCCTCAGTGGGAAATGGCTCTCCCAGGCCCAGGTTTGCAGCGGATTTTTCACATTTTGGCTGCTAAGTTAATAATTAACAGCTAAGCAAAGTAAAAAAAACAATGACGTTGCTCCTCAGTTGGCTCTTCTTTTGTCTCTTGCTGGTTTTCATTTGATTACTCTTCTGAGGAATGAAAACTTGCATCTGTGAGAAGTATTTTATTCAGCATAAAAACTGCTGAATCTGAAATCAAGTTTGCAGTAAGGACTGTGTGAGGGGAGGAGCCCAGTGAGGAGTTACAAACTTCCTCAAATCAGGAATTCTTTGTCTTTCCCAGCTCAGCGCTCTTTGCAAGCACTTGGACAATATGTGGGAGGAGAACAGAGGCTGCGTGGTGCTGTTTGCCTGGATGCAGTTTCTGAAGGAGGAAACACTGAATTACCTGAATATTTCATCACCATATGAGCTGAAAATGTGCCCTCAGGGGAAGGGGCAGGGCCGGACAGCAGCGGGGCCCCTCGAGGCTGGGAAGGACTCTGGGGGTGCCACAAGCTCTGCCACAGCTGAGGAGGAAATGGTGGATGCCAGGGCGGTGCAGGATGTGGAGTCCTTGTCCAGTCTTATCAGGGAGATCTTGGACTTCGACCAGGCGCAGAGGAGGAAGTGCTTTAACAGCAAGATGTACTCGTGTGGTATCTGCTTCTGTGAGAAGCTGGGCAGTGAGTGCATGCGCTTCCTGGAGTGCAGCCACGTGTACTGCAAGGCCTGCCTGAAGGACTACTTTGAGATCCAGATCAGGGATGGACAGGTGCACTGCCTCAACTGCCCCGAGCCCAAGTGTTCTTCTGTCGCCACTCCAGGCCAGGTAATTCCTGTGCAGGTAATTCTGTGGAGCTCTGGAACCCAGCCCAAGTTCAGGGCCTGGCTCTGCATGCTGGACACTGTCAGTCACAGAGTCATTTGGGTCAGAAAAGGGCTCCAGGATCACCAAGTTCAGCCTTTGGCCCAGTCCCACCATGCCACTAAACCGTGTCATGGAGTGCCACATCCTTGGACACTCCAGGGAATGGCTCCCCAACCCTCCCTGGGCAGTTCCAGTGCCTGAGCACCCTTTCCATGGGGAAATTCCTGCTGTGCCCACCCTGAGCCTGCCCTGGCCCAGCTGTTCCCTCTCCTCCTGTCCCTGTTCTCCCTGGGAGCAGAGCCCCACTCCCTGTGACCTGTTTGAGAATCTAAAGTGGATTCATCCCAGCTCTTGGTACCTTTTCACTGACTGTAATTCAGACTGACAGGCTCAGAACTACAGATGCAAGGAATCAGGGAATCCCAGACTGGGTTGGGTTGGAAGGGACCTTAAAGCCCATCCAGTGCCATGGCAGGGCCACCTCCCAGTGTCCCAGGCTGCTCCCAGCCCTGTCCATGCTGGCCCTGGGCACTGCCAGGGATGCAGGGGCAGCCCCAGCTGCTCCGGGCAGGCTGTGCCAGGGCCTGGGTGTGTGTGCTGATCTGTTGCCTGCCTGGGCTGTGTTGGCAGGTGAAGGAGCTGGTTGGGGAGGAGCTGTTTGCCCGCTACGACCGCCTGCTGCTGCAGTCCAGCCTGGACCTGATGGCTGACGTGGTTTACTGCCCCCGGCCCGGCTGCCAGACGCCCGTGATGCAGGAGCCCGGCTGCACCGTGGGCATCTGCTCCTGCTGCAGCTACGCCTTCTGCACCTTCTGCAAGATGACTTACCACGGCGTGTCCCCCTGCAAGATCACGGCAGGTCAGGCAGCTCCCCCTGGGCTCCACGCTCACACCCACACACCCCAAATGCTGCCTGGCAAAGTGCAGGGCTGGGCACGGCAGCGCCTCGCCCTGAGCTTTGTGCAAGGTGCATTCATTGCAGGAGGGCTGCTGCTGGCAATTCAATACCCCTTTGGTGAGACTCCTCAGCTCAGGAGCTCCCTACACTGCTGCTTGTCAAATGCTGAGAGGCTGTAGCAGGGGAAGAATTCCTTCATATTTTCACTACTTTGTATTGTCAGAGTTAATACTGGAATCAGATGGAGGCTTCTCTCTCTGGCCTTTAAATCCTGTGACAGAATTTCATTAAATATGTAGTCTGAAAAAAAATAATTCTATTTTCAGTTTATTTTACATTGTTCTAATTCCATCAAGAGATCTCTTTTATAATAAAACAGTGGAAAACTGCTGAATGTTGGGGCAGAGTGGTTTTAATATTATCATCTTATGTATTTTAATAGTTTTCTTGCTTTTTAATTCATGACATTATTGTTCTTTGATAATCTTTGTGCTGCAATTAGAAGGACTTTTAAATCTAGTATCTTACAAAAGCTCTCTGGTTTGGTTTGATTTTTCCCCCCAGAGAAATTAATTGATGTGAGGAATGAATACTTAAAAGCAGATGAGGCAACTAAAAGATATTTGGAACAACGCTATGGCAAGAGAGTGATTCAGAAAGCCCTGGAGGAGATGGAGAGTAAGAAATGGCTGAAAAAGAACTCCAAGGCTTGTCCTTGCTGTGGGTCCCCCATTCAGGTGAGTGAGGAGGCAAAGGCTGGGAATCATGGAACAGAAAATAACCCACAAGGAGGCAGTTCTGGGTGTGCTGGAGCCTCTAGGGAGAGGAAATCTCTAGGAAATACTAAGAGAAGTTCCATTTCTGTGTGGCATGGAAGAGGAGGTGAGGTGGTACTTGTGGATGCCAAGGGCTGCAGTACAAACAGTGCCTGGTGGTCAGGCTCCCACACTGAACAGATCCAGGCTGACTCTGGATCTCTGTGAACCCTCTTGTTTTCCTGGTGTTTCAGGCTACCTCTGGTTTACCCTAGAGCTAGGAAATCAATCCAGCTCCAGAAAGATACTGATTTCCAGCATTTTTAGTGTTCTAACCAATTTCCAGTGCTGGGACCCCAGCTCCCAGTGGAAATGTCAGCGTGTGGTGGAGCTGGGGGTTTGTGCTCACTGACTGAGTGCTGCCACCGTGGCTTTCTGCTGCCACCATTTCTTGGTTTTTCCCCCAGAAACTGGATGGCTGTAACAAGATGACGTGCACAGTGTGCATGCAGTACTTCTGCTGGCTCTGCATGGGTGCCCTGTCCCAGACCAGCCCCTACCAGCACTTTGAGGACCGCTCCTCACCCTGCTACAACAGGTCAGTGCTTCAGGGACCCCTCACTGCTGCTTCTCCTCACAGTCTCTCCCACATTCTCACCTGGAATGTGTACATACAGTTTAAGGCACAGTTTCTCCTCTCAAATAATTGGCACTAACAGTAAAAATCAGGAGTGATTCAGGATTGGTTTTGCTTTTTTAAGAACTTTGGTTTCATTAATTTAATTCTGGAGGAGTCTTCTGAGCCTGTTCCTGATTTTTGTTGGTCAGGTCATGACCTCAGCCTTTCTGTGCTGAGTTTCCCTGAGTGTTTCCCTGGCAGTGCTCAGGACCAGCTCGAGGATTGGGGAAGAGCTACTTTAAGGAGCTGCAGGATTGCCTGACAAGGGGAAGAGCCAAGGGACAGAAGTGCTGCTGGGGACAGGTGACAGGCAGCTCACACCAGGGGGACAATGGCAGCCTCTCTTGTCCCTTCCATGGGCACAGATGGTGATACTGAACAAAGCAGGGGAACTTGCTGTACTGTTGTTGCATTTAGGGTGATACTGTTTTTAACATATTTGACTATTTTTATGCCCTGGTATCACTGATTTTCTGTCTTGCAGATTGTTTCAAAACATTCAGCTCGACAATGGGGAGCTGTGGGAAGCAGAAGATGATGATTAGTAACTTCCTCCAGCACCAAAAGGTGATAAACAGAGACAGATGCTTTTTGTGTGTCCTGTGTTTGCTTTTCACTTCCATTGTGTGACTGAAGAGTGGTAGCTGCACTGCAGGACACTCACATCTCAGAGCCTGTTGCCAAAACCAAAGGAGACCTTTTCCCCATCCTGGGATCAGGATCATCATGGAATGTCCAAACAAACATGTCCATTATTAAAGTCAGAAATTGGAAAACCATTGGAAAAAATAAATACCAAGAGGTGCCCCTTTTTTAAAAGCCAACAGACAAAACTGAAGCCTCAAATCCTGGAAATATTTTGGGGTTTCCTTTAGGGACAGTGACCCTTAGATCGTGAATATTGTGGGGTTTGGGGTGGTTTGGTGGAGCTGTAGTGCTCCCTCTGGAGCTGCTTGGACTGGGGGAGTTTTCTGATACAATGCAGAAAATTTCTTCTGTATTCAGCAACAAAGTTTATTGCTTTTATGAATTTCCTGATGTGCTTCTCTGAAAAGCAGCTGCTGGCTGTGTCACTGGTACTTTCTAATGACATTAAAGCTGATTATCCCCAACCCTTCTCGTTGGCTGCTGTGCCTGAGCCTTTGCATCCCTGAGAGCTGGGCAGAGAATGACCAACAGCCATTCCCAGGGATTTCTGTGAGGTTGGTGACTCCCTGTGCTGCTGCTGGATTCCCTCACGTTACCTGTCCTTGTTTTGGCAGGGATGAGTGCCAAGGCAGTGAGCTGAGGATGTGACCAGTGAGAGGGTGAAAAGTATCAGGAAGAGATGAACTTGAATTCTTCAAGATACTGACAATTACCTTGTGTTCTCAGTTGATGAAGTAATATATTTTTTATTAATTCTTCATATAAGAAATTCGATGGTTAATACTTTTGCTTCTGGACTAGATCCTTTATTTCCACTGGTTTTGCACTTCAAATTATTTCAGAAACCAAATTTTTTTTCCTAAAATCTCAGCAAGTGATTTTGAGAGTATGAAGGTGATTACTGGAGGCAAACACTGATTTTTTTACAAGTTTTTCCACTTGCAAAACAGTCTAAAAGTTTATTTGGAAGTTAAAGCTGCATGTGCTGTGTTCAAGAGCAGTTGGGCCTGGATGGAAAGCTCTGGAGCTGAGACTCCTTAGGAACTCGAGGTGATCACAGCTCACTCAGTTCTGACTGAGAATTAATAAATTTATCCTGGATGTGTGGCCAGAAGGAGTGGTGCTGCATTTCCCTGTGCAGAGGAGGAGTCTGCACTGTTGGGACTGGCACGGAGATTAAAAAGATGGAAGGAAGAGCAAATCTCACCTCAGCTGAATCTCTAGGTCAGCGTGTAGGAAAAGTGTACATTGTGTATGGTCTGAGTTGTTTTCCTGCACCTTTCACATGCACTAAATTCACTTGAAGATGGTAAACACAGCGTCCCTGTTTGTTTTCCTTGTGGCATGGATTTGGCAGCACAGGTGTCCCCAGGCGCTCCTGGGAATGGGACAGCCCAGAGCTCCCACCTGGAGCTGTGGGATGTGTTCTGCTCGTGGTATTTAATGCATGCAGAGTGCCCTCCCACCCCAAGGGCCCTGCTCTTCCCTCTGAGGAAAACCTGCCAGCAAACACTGGGCAAGGAAGGGGGGAGCAGCAGGAGCTCTTCCCACCAAACTGCCTCCAGCACAGCTTTGCTACCATGAGCACACTGAGACCGAGCACCAGATACAGTCAAATGTCACCATTAAAAAATTAAACATTTACTGAACAAAGTTACAGTACAGATCAACAACTTACAAAACTTTTGTATAAAGAAAATAAATGTTGCCCAGTTTTCTTGCCCCTTGTGTGAGAGCATTGGAGAAGTCCCAGGAGTCACATTTCAGAATTGGTGGGGTCTTGCCTGTTGTCCACCTGTGTGGGGTGTCTGTAATTAAACAGAGGCTGAAGCCAGTGGGAACAGAGTGTTTCCTTTGGGGCTGGTTTGGCTTTTCCTCAGAGAAATGGAAAATTCTGGAGAAGAGGGAGCACCAGGCATAGCAAATCATACCTGGGCCTGAGAACAGTGAGATCCTCAGGTGCCTGAGCTGCAGCCTGGACCCCGCGTGGGGGATGCTGCTGGGACCTCTTCTGCTGAGGGCTCTCAAGTCCAACACGTGGCTCAAAGCAGGGCTCAGCCAGGGCTTTATCCACTCAGGTCCTGGCAGCCTCCTCAGGAGGGGGGGATCCTGTCCCACTGCTTGGCTGTTCCCACAGTGGGGTTTTATCCTCTCCAGCATGAGCATCGTGTCTCCACTCCCACCCCACTGTCCCTTCTCGTCTTCCCCCTGGCTCCATCTTCTTGCTGCCCTCTCCTGGCTGCGGGTGCAGCTCTGAGCTTCCCCTTCTCCAGCTGGACAATCCTCTTTTCCAGGATTCCAATGTATGAGTGTTTCATGGAGGAGGAAGGAACAACAGAGATACTTGTGCTAATTGCAAGTAATACACCCCAAAGTTATCACCCACTTGTTTCTGAAACATTGTACTTTCTTTTATCCTCACATTCCAGTTCTGCAGCCTTCAGTCTGTGATTACAGCCAGTTCACAGATCAAACAATTCATTCTTCACTTCCTTCAGAGAATGAGTTGGTGGCAGAAGTTTGTGGAACACAGAACACTGGATCCCATCCTCCTTTGGTTAATAAAGGCAGGTGTTTGGCATCTGTCTCTTTAATGGAGAAAAGGAACCATAGGATCATTCTGCTAATTTAAGAACAAATATGAGATCAGTTTCTGCAGCAATTCCCTTTTGTCCCAGCTGTTTTCAGCAGCTGGTTCAGCACTGCCCCAGCACATTAATCACTGTATGGCTTCTTGGACTGGCTCCTCTCTGCTCCCATCTCCTTCATGCTGTACAAGGGCTCCACAAGCTTGTTGTGAACCAGCATTAAACCTGAGGGAGAGAGTCAAAAGGCAATTTAAGTAGACATAATAAAGGAAGGCTCTCCTTCATTGGCTGCTAATGGAATTAGACATTACTGTTGTCCTTGTGCCTTTGCTCCCACACCAACCATGAAGCATTTACCTTCACACATACTGCTGTGGTATATTTAAGGAATATACTCCTTTGGGAGTTACTTATACAGCAACACCTCTGCAAAGCATGGCTCGTGGCTCCCAGAAATGTAACAGAGCAGCTGCCTGGCCTGGTCACACGCTCACCTTTGAAGTATTTCACAGTTTTGACTTTGAGCTCCAGCGTGGCGTCCTCGTCGCACACGAACACGGTGTTGGGGTGCTGCTGGAAGGCCGACACCGTCCACATGTGGTTGACACCGTCCTCGATGGCTTTGTACAGAGCAAAGGCCTTGTGGGCTCCTGTGATCAGGATCATCACCTGCACCCCCACACACAGAGGGCACTCAGGGCCTGGCAGCGGGGCCAGGGAGAGCCCAAGCACACCCTGCCAAGCTGGGGATGGGGACACCCCTGCCACCCTCCCCACAGCCACTTCTCTGTGCTGCTGCTGCTCTGGCTGCTTCAGCTCTCAGCGAAACCACAGCCTGGTGGGTCACTGCCATGGTCCTTGGGCACCTGTACACTGAGATTTGACAAGTGTAGATCAAGAATAGACTCCAGTAAAAGTGGTCCCACAGAGTTTTCATGACCTGCTGGTGTGACATCAAGTCAGCCTGATTTCTGCAGTTACTCTCCAGGTGAGATTGCTAACCAAAGGCACCCTCCCAAACCCTCCTGGCTCCCTGGGGGGAACAGCTGCTGCAGGGTTACACAAACACAAGTGCCAGCAGAGGCAGAGCAAGAGCCTCTCCATGGTGTTGTGGGATGCCAGAGGACAGAGGATCAGGCATTCTGTGGCAGGAATACCCTACACCAGAGGACACGTGGCTGCTCCACGACAGGATAACCTTTGGCTGCTCCAGAGGAACTGCAGGAAGCCACTTCTTATTTCCTCACCTCTCTGGCATCCATGACAGTGCCAACTCCAACTGTCAAAGCCATGGTGGGCACTTTGGAGAGGTCACCATCAAAGAACCTGGCGTTGGCCAGGATGGTGTCCATGGCCAAGGTCTTCACTCGTGTCCTGGACACCAAACTGGATCCCGGCTCGTTGAAGGCGATGTGACCGTCGGGGCCGATACCTGGACAGGGACAGTGGCAGCAGCTGGGACAGCAGAGCCAGCAGCTCCCCCAGGAGAAGCACAGGCAGTGCTCCTGGGAACAGCTGAGAAAAAACCCCTGCAGTTCCTCTGCTCCGGCTCAGATTTGTGTCTGCCAGGAACAACAGCAAGAGCCCCCTCAGGAGCCACCAGGCAGTGCCCTGATTGTGCTGGGACAATGACAAAGTAGGTGGCAGGACCTCGTGGCAAACGGATGGGAAGAGCTTGTGTGGGAAAAGCCACTCCCAGCAGTTTCCTGTTGCCACTGACAATTGATAATACCTATTTTTACAGTTCTAGCCCTTCCCATTTCTCCTGCCAACACTTCCTGAACAATTCACTCATATTTTTACACTTCTAGCCCTTCCCATTTCTCCTGCCAACACTTCCTGAACAATTCACTGACTGCACTGAGGGACCTAAAGGGAGGGACCTAAAGCTGGGAGACAAGGCTGCCAGGACACTGCAGTGCCAGGGCTGTGGACTGTGGGGTGGATTTCACTGCAAATGCACTGAAAGTGAACAATTCTGGCAATAAATGAGAGCTGGGGAGGACAGGCACAGCTTTGGGACAGGGTTTAGAGGCTGCTGCTCTCGGGTTCTCACCTCCAACAAAGAGCTCGATGCCTCCAGCTGCTTTGATTTTCTCCTCAAATGCATCACACTCTGCCTGGAGATCAGGGGCGTTTCCATCCAAGATGTGCACGTTCTCTGGTGAGATGTCAATGTGCTTGAAGAAGTTATTCCACATGAAGGAATGGTAACTTTCTGGGTGATCCCTCGGGAGGCCTGGGAACAGAACACAGGACTGAGGCCACCTGGAACAGTATCGCCCATAACAAAGCACTTCCACAGCCCTGCAGTGGCCTTGGTGACACAGCACTGCTCTCTCTGTCCTTTGTCACGCCCTCAGCTTTCAGAGTTGGTTCTATTTCCCTAAATACCAGAATTAAAATCAGCTCCTCTAAGATATGCCCGTATTAATACACAACAGATGTTCAAAAAGCAGGTGTGTGCTGTGCCTCATCTGTCACTGCTTTTCAACCCTTTTCCCATTTCATATTAGTAAGAATTATTAAAAAACTTTGCAGAAGCCTGGGAAATAATAATTATTGTATAATTATTGCATATTTACCCCTCTTGAATGCTGTAAACCCACACTGGACTGCTTATTCCCTGATGCTGCTTGATTGGGATTGTTCACAGGAAAAAACCCCTCTTGACCAGGATAAAATTAGCATTAGCAAATATTTAGCTTGCATGTTTTTCACCTTTGGATCTATTTCTTCTGAGGAGACTGTTTCACCATGACTTCAGCAATGGCAGTCCTTTGCTAACTCAGCAGGAGATACCAGAGGGCACTCAGGGGACACCGTGGTCTTTGTAAGGGACCTTTCTAGCCCCAGAGCAAAGGTGGAAGGTAATGCTGCATGCTGAGCCTGCAGTGATAAGCTGTTCTTGCCTGCTCAGTGCCTGAGTGCAGCTAACACACAGCAGTGTCTGCAACAGTGTGTGCAATACTGGGCAACACCCAGCACCCAGCTTTGGCCATATTTTCAAACCTATGGAAAAAGTTCAAATTTCTTCCACAGGTTTTCAAATTGGCTCCATGTGTGCAATACTGGGCAACACCCAGCAGCCAGCTTTGGCCATACCTTTTCGAACCTATGGAAAAAGTTCAAATTTCTTCCACAGGTTTTCAAATTGGCTCCCTTTGTTAATTCCCTGGAGGTGTTTAAGGAAAGACTGGACGTGGCACTCAGTGCCATGGTTCAGCTGACAGCGTGGTGTGGGGTCACAGGCTGGACCCGATGACCTCAGAGGTTTTTCCATCCTAACTGATGCTGTAACTCTGTGAATGCTGGTGCTGTAACTGTGACTGTTGGTGCTGTAATTCTGTGAATGTTGGTGCTGAAGCTCTGTGAATGCTGATGCTGTAGCTCTGTGAATGCTGATGCTGTAGCTCTGTGAATGCTGGTGCTGTAGCTCTGTGAGTGCTGGTGCTGTAACTCTGTAAATGCTGCTGCTGTAGCTCTGTGAATGCTGATGCTGTAACTGTGACTGTTGGTGCTGTAACTCTGTAAATGCTGCTGCTCTAGCTCTGTGAATGCTGATGCTGTAACTGTGACTGTTGGTGCTGTAACTCAGTGAATGCTGGTGCTGTAACTGTGAATGCTGATGCTGTAGCTCTGTGACTGTTGGTGCTGTAGCTCTGTGACTGTTAAATGCTGCTGCTGTAACTGCGACTGTTGTCCCTCTTACCTGCACCGGTGGAT